GTTGTATTAGTTCTCATCTTCAACTTACCTAACACTTTTTCACACCTTTCCTTCTGGTAATGACCTGGCACTCTGACCCTAGGACTACGCATCAAATCCATATTGGGCCAGTTGGAGATGTTTCTGCTGGAGCTGGTGAGGAAGGGTCTTTCTTTCTTTCTTTCGATTACTTATTTATTTGATAGAGAGAGATAGAAAGTGCGTGCACAAGCAGGGGGAGCAGCAGAGGGAGAGGGAGAAGCAGGCCCCATGCTGAGCAGGGAGCCCAATTCGCTGCTCAATCCCAGGACCCTGGGACCATGACCTGAGCAGACGCTTAATCGACTGAGCCACCCAGGCACCCCAGGAAGGGTCTTTTCTGGTCATGGAGCAGTGAAGATGAGACCCTAGAGTGGCATCGGTTTCTTTTGCATGGAAAAGGTGGAAAACTGATTTGGTCCATCGTCAGATGCTTTGTAGCATAATAACTAAGTTTACAGAATTTTCATGATTCCTTCAGAGAAGAGAATGAATTTGGTCCAACATGACTTTTTGGTGAACTTGTGCTTGTTCTTAGAATTTACCACTTCTTCCAAGTACTGGTGCCACATTGTCCATTTTCGTAAATAAGTTGTAATTTTTTCCTAGGATCAACATCAGTCTTATCCATGACCTGATGAATATCATCACCTTCTAATCTGTTACAATAAAATACAAACTGGAATTATGAAGAATATAAAGATACTCTCTTTGCAGTTTTCTTTACAATTATATTTGCCAGATTAAATTTTATAAAAATGGGTATTGTATTTCTCTGTTGTTATTTCTTTTGGAATGATTTGTGTGGAATGTCAGACTTGTTTAAGAATGGCATTTGTAGTTCTTTTTTTTTTTTTTTTTTTAAAGATTTTATATATTTATTTGAGAGGGAGAGTGAGCTAAAGAGAGCACTCACAAGTCAGGGGAGGAGCAGAGGGAGAGGAAGAAGCAGACTCCCTGCTGAGCAGGGAGTCAGACCTGAGGCTGGATCCCTGGACTCTGGGATCCTGACCTGAGCCAAAGGTAGATGCTTAACTGGCTGAGTCACCCAGGTGCACAAGCATTTGTAGTTATTTCTACAAAAAAACTTTGCATCAGGCCCTTACTTAAGGACATGGCTCTCATCATGACATTCTTTTTATGAAAAAACCACTTGTTTTAGGTCTCTCTGTCAATGATACAGCCTTCTATAAATGTAAGGATAAAATACTTTGGATAGCCAATGGTTACGCCCTTCAGTGGGAGTTATTGTACATATTAAGGGGGTTTGAAGCTTTGAGTATGCTTAAAAAGTGTTTTTTTAAAAACATGCCTTTGTAATCCTTTTGCTAAATTAGCAGACCTGAATGAATGCAATTAAATTAATGAGGTATAAAATTGAAAATAAACTTATCAAAGCATATTCAGCTAATTTGATATCTGTAGTTATCTGGGGAGGCTTCACATTTTAGCCTGACTTTAAGAGGTTTGTAGTGTTTCGCTAAGGGATAGAAGGCATTTTAGGTGGGGAAAACAGCACGAGCAAAGGCATGGAGTTAATGGATTTGAGAAGGGACTCCAAGGACATGTAGCTGGAAGTATTACTGTGAACTATTTATTGAGCACTTACCGTATTTTAAGCATTGTTCCAAGTATTTTATGTTTATTCCTTACAGTCTTTTGGGATAGTTGTTTTATTATTTTCATTTTACTAGTGAGGAATCAGAAGGGTAAAAATGGTACCTGCTTATGAGAGTTTTAAGTTTGAATTAGCCATGTGGAAGGTAAAAGACAGAATAAAGCATTTTTATCGAATCTTTCAGATGGGCTTAGATTCATAGAACAGTCACCAATCATTCAGGGGTTAAAAAAAGTTTTATGTTAAACGCAAAGTTAATTGTTAAAATTTTGTGGTAGTATGTTGATATTAAAATGTTAGAGTCATGGTGAAATATTCTAAGATTTTTAATACCTTTTTACCACAAATGAAGGAAACTACATAAAAACATACATAACCTAATGACTTTTTAGTTTTTAAAATAAACAACCTTGTAACTACTACACAGGTCAAGAAATAAATTTTTGCCTGCCACCCCACAAGTCTTCCATGTGGCCCTTTCCAGTCAGAGCCCATCCCTCTCCCTTGCTATAACTGCTATCCTGACTGCTATAGTAATTGCATCTGTACATTTCTTTCTAATTTTATTGCCCAAATGTGCATTCCTAAGCACTATAATTTACTTGTGTGTTTTCTTATTTGTTTCTCTTAATCTACATGGCCTGCTCGCATTTGTTTTTCCCCTTTCTTTCTTACAGTTTGTTGAAACAATCAAGTATTTTGACCCATACAGATTCTGCCATCTAGGTTATGCTGATTGCATACTTTTTCTTCATTCTCTGTATTTCCTATAATTGAGTTGTTGGATCTAAAAGTTTGATCAAAGCTTTGATTTATTTTTTATTTTTTTGGACAAGAATACTTCCTAGGTGTTGATGTGGTATACTCTCCATGAAGATGTATGTAGTGTCTGGTTGTTTCTCTTTTTGTGATTTTTAGCAGCCACTGTTGCTTGATGCATAGATCAGTGAATTTTTGTTTCTTAGGGCTTACAAAATGGTGATATTTTAATTCTGTTATTCTTCATTTATAAGGTGGAATGCTTCCATAAAAAGAAACTTTTGGGGCGCCTGGGTGGGCTCAGTCATTAAGCGTCTACCTTCGGCTCAGGTCATGATTTCGGGGTCCTGGGATCGAGACCCGCATCGGGCTCCCTGCTCGGCGGGAAGCCTGCTTCTCCCTCTCCCACTTCCCCTACTTGTGTTCCCTCTCTCGCTGTGTCTCTCTCTGTCAAATAAATAAATAAATGAAAAAAGAAAAAAAAGAAACTTTTCTTCATTTACTATTTGGTTACCCAGTGGTACAGTTCAATTAGGAAAGGTAGGATAGATATTTGTTCTTACTTTACCAATTTTTAAAATAATCCATTAGTTCCTTGTTATTCTCTGAAGGTGACCAATGAATTCCCTTAAGTGTCATTATGAACCTATTGATTTACTATAAGTAAATACCTATTTAATGCTCTCTCTTTTATAGATGCTTTGGAGGGACCTTATTTTATGAATGCAGTGGATCTTATAAACAAAATATAAAATGTGCCTTGGTTATCAACTCTTTCAACTATTCTATAAATTTTAGGATCAGCATGTTGGGATTTTGATGAGGCTTGCTTTTAATCTGTAGATTAATGTATGATTGCCTTCCTTTTTTAAAATCAATCCTGCCGTAGTCTGTAAAAATGTGTGAGCTTTTTCAAAAATCCAGCTTTCAGTTTTACTTTACCTCTATTTACTGTTTGTTATTTCCTTCTTTTTTTGCTTGCCTCTGTATTCTTTTATTCTTTACACTTTCCTCGCTTAATTTTATTTTTCTGGTGTTCTGAGAGTGATATGAATTTCCAGCCTTTCTTTTCTAAAGTATGCATTTGAGGTTACAAAGTTCTCTCTAAGCACTGCTTTAGTTGCAGCACAGATTTTTTGATATATAAACTATACCATTTTGTAAACGTATCATTTGATGTGTATATCATACATTTCAAAAATTTTTTTCGTTGACCTATGACTTTTCACAAGTTTCTCTCTTTATATATGTCAGGTATCTATTGTTGCATAACAAACTACCCTAAAATTTAGTAGCTTAAAGTAATTATTTCTCCCCTCAATTCTGTGGGTGGCTGGGCAGTGCCTCTGCTGGTTTTGTTCTGGGTTTGCTTGAGGCTGCTTTCAACTAGAGGATTGGCTACACGGGGGAAGGTTTAAGATGGCTTCACTCATATCTGGCTGATGGTGCTAGCTGGTGGCTGGGGTGCCTTGGTTCTCATCTAAGTGACTTTTTATCATCTAGTAGACTATACCAGTTTCCTCATTTGTAGTCTCAGGTCAGCATTCCAAGAGGCAAAAGTAAAAGCAAAAAGGTTTCTGCCACATTCTTTTGGATAGAGCAAGTCACAAGCTTGGCCCAGATTGAAGGATGAGAAAATAGATTCCTCCTTTTTAGGAGAAACACAAAGAATTTGTCTCATATTTAACTTACCACAATTTCCAAACATTTGGGAATTTTTCTTGTATTTTTTTTCTTCTTATTGTTGATTAAACAGCAAAATTGCTTTGTAGTTATTATTTCTTTTTTCATTATTTTATTTTTACTCCTTCTAGTAGTTTGGAAGTTATTCTTTATTTTACTTTACTTCTACTGGTTACCCTAGAAATTTTAACATGTATTAAAATTTTTAGGTCTAAACATTAATCAGTAATACTTCATCCCCCTCTTAAGCAGTAAAATGACTTTTAGAGCAGTGACTCCACTTAGTTTCCTCCTGATTTATTTGCATTTGTTGTAGTGGGGTTTTTTTTGTTTGTTTGTTTTAAGTACTAAAAGACATTACTATTGTTTTATGTAATACTCATTTAGAGTTAACTATATATTTACTACTTTGGTTGCTCTTCATTCATTTTTGCAACCTCTACCTTCCAACTGGAATCACCCTCCCTGCCACCACCAATATGACCTTTAGTACAAATCTGATAATGAACTTTCTCCATTTTGTCAGATAATGTCTTTATTTGCCTTCATTCATGAAAGTGTGATTTTCTTTCTGTCCGTTGAATATTTGATTCTCCCATCTTCTGGTTTCCATTACTGATATTGAGAGGTCAGCTATCAGTTTGTAGCTGTTGCCCCTTTGAAGGTAATGGGTCTTTTTTCTCTAGCTGCTTTTAAGGGTTTATCTTTATCTTTAATTTTTCTGGAGCTCACTCTGACTTGGTGAAGTGTGGATATTTTTATCTATCCTACTTAAGGATTCACTAGGCCTTTTTGACTTTGTGGATTGGTGTCTCTTCCATTTTGGAATATTCTCAGCCATTATCTATGCCTTGATTTCTTTCTTTATACTTCCTGGACACCAACTAAGATAGTCTCATTGTAACCACTGTCTCTTACTTTTTTTTTTTTTAAACACATGACAAATTTGTGTTTCATCCTTCTGGGGGCAGCATGCTAATCTCTGTATCATTCCAATTTTAGTACATTGCTGATGAAGTGAGCATTCTCTTACTTTTATTTCTTTGTTTTCCATCTTTTTGTTTACTTTTTGCTACACTCCGGATAGCAAATTCTGATTTAGCTCCTAGATTATTAGTTGTCTCTTTGGCTGTGTGAAATCTACTAAAACTATTAAATACTTAATTTCACTTGTTGTATGTGTTATTTTTTAAAGTTCCACTTGGCCCTGGGGTGCCTGGGTAGCTCAGTCAGTTAAATGTGGACTCTTTGATTTCGGCTCAGGTCATGATCTTAGGGTTGTGAGATAGAGCCCTGTGCTTGGCATGGAGCCTGCTTAAGATTGTCTCTCTCCCTCTCTGCCCCTCCCCCTTCCACCTTCTGGCTAAAAAAAAAAATTCTGTTTGGTTCTCTTAGATCTCTCTCTCTCTTTTTTAATATAATTTCCTTATTTTGGTAGATAACTTTTATTTTGTGTATTTATTTCTTTAAATACGGTCTGCATTGTCTTATAGGATGCTTTTGGAAATTCCAACATCTGAAATCTTCTTGGGTCTCCTTCTGTTTTCTTTTAATTTCTGCTGGTTCCTGTTTATGGAGTTTAGTTTGCTGTGTGCTTGGTTATTTTTGATTATGGTCAGGATATTTTATTTAAAATTCTAGGGATAATTTTGAGGCTTATAGTAAACATACTTTTAAGAGGAAAGTTTGCCTCTTACAGTGCCTGGGAGCAATATTCAGGGAACAACTTAAACCGAGTTCCTTATGAGCACATTCTAAAATTTTTAGTACAGCATTTTAATAAATGGATGGAAAACTCACATTTCAGATGCCATGTTTTTGTTTCCCAAACGAGCTATATCATTGTATGTCCACATCATTGTCGTGTTAATGCCTTTCAAATCAACATCTCTACTCTTGTACTTCAAATCTAAACTTTTACAAAATTGTCTTCTGTTTGATTCCATATAGTTATCTCACTGGGACTTGAAATTGAACAAGTTTACAATGAATCCAGTTATTATTTCCCTTAAATGTGTTTACTGCTGTTATTCTTTTTGTAGTTAACGGAATCACTGTCCTCTAGTCACTCAGGGTGTATATTGTTTGTGAAACCTGAGGAAAATGATCTTTGCCTTTCATGGCATCAGTTTGGAGCTGATGGTTTCTAATACCTCCTCTTTCTTTACACAGTTCTTAAAGTTTTATGACTTTATTGAAACATTGATATACAATAAACTGGTATTTAAAGTACAAAACTTGGTAAGTTTTGACATGTAACACCTGTGAAACAATTACTACGGTCAAGGTAACGAACATTTTATCACCCCAAAGTTCCCTTGTGGCCCCTTTCTAGTCAGTCCTCTCCCTGCCCTTAGCTTGCAGCAACCACTGATTGGCTTCCTATAGCTACAGATTGGTTTTGGTTCCTCTAGAATTTCGTAAGTGGAATCGTACACTATATATGTTTTTGTCTAGCTACTTACAGTCGGCGTAATGCTTTCGAGATTCATCCATGTTGTGTGTATCAATTGTTTTTCAATTGTTGAATACATTTTATGGATATACCACAATTTTTTAATCCATTTGCTTGTGGGGGAACATTTGGATTGTTTCCAGGTTTTGACTATTAAAGCTGCTATGAACATTTGTATAGAGTTTATTTATGGACATATACTTTCATGTCCCATGAGCAAATACTTAGTAGTGGAATGGCTGGATCGTATGGGAGTTGTATCTTTAACTTTTTCAGAAACTTGCCACACTGTTTTCCAAAGTGTTTGTATCATTTTATATTCCCATGAGCAGTATGGAAGATTCCAGTTGTTCCACATCCTTGATAACTCTTGGTGTGATCAGTCTTTTTAATCTGAGCCATTCTACTGATTGTATGCAGTGGTTTCTCACTGTGGTCTTAATTTTCATTTTCCTAAGAACTAAGGGAACAGTTGAGCATTTTTCATGTGTTTATTTTCCATCCATACGTTTTCTTTGGCACAGTGTATTTAAACCTTTAAATGAATTGTCTTATTCTACTGTAAGAGTTTGTTATGTATTCTGAATATAAGGTTTTTCATGGATGTATGTTTTACAGATATTTTCTTAATAGTATTTTGAAGAGCAAAATTTTGATGAAGTCCAATTTGTTGATTTATTTTTTTTTTCTGGTGCAGCCTGTACTGTGTGTCCTATTTAACAAATCTTTGTTTAACTCAGGGTTACAAAGTTTTTTTCCTGTTTTCTTCTCTTTCATAGTTTTACCTCTTACATTTAGGTCTGTGTTCCATTTCAAATTAATTTTTTTTGGTATATGGTGTGCAGTAAGTGTTGTGGTTAATTTTTTTTTACATATGGCTATCTAGTTGATCTGGTACCATTTGTTAAAAAGATTATTCTTTCCCCATTGAATTGCCTTAGCACCTTTGTCTTAAATCAATTGGCTATATATGTGTGGGTCTGTTTCTGGACTCTTCTGTTCCTTTGATCTATATTTGTACTCTAGTATCACACTCTCTTATTTATTGTAGCTTTATGATAAGCCTTGAAATGAGGTACAATTCTTCTGACTTTGTTTTTTTCCAAAATTTATTGGTTATTCTAGGTCCTTTGCAATTATAAATGAATTTTTTTTTTAAAGATTTTATCCATTTGTCAGAGAGGGGGGCGGGGAGCAGCAGGCAGAGGGAGCCCGATGCGGGGCTCAATCCCAGGACCCTGGGATCATGACCCGAGCCGAAGGCAGACGCTTAACTGACTGAGCCACCCAGGCATCCCTATAAATGAATTTTAAAATCACCTTGTTACTCCCTGCAAAAAAGCCTGATAGGATTTTGATTGGGATCGCATTGAATTTCTAAATCAATTTGGGGAGAATTGACATGTTAACAATATTGAGTCTTCTGATCCATGAACATGATACGTCTCTCTATCTAGTCATCTATGATTTCTCTGCAGTGTATTGTAGTTTTCTTTCTTTCTTTTTTTTTTTTTAAGATTTTATTTATTTATTTGACAGAGACACAGCGAGAGAGGGAACACAAGCAGGGGGAATGGGAGAGGGAGAAGCAGGCTTCCCACAGAACATGGAGCCCAATGTGGGGCTCAATTCCAGGACCCTGGGATCATGGCCTGAGCTGAAGGCAGATGCTTTACGACTGAGCCACCCAGGTGCCCCATGCAGTGTATTGTAGTTTTCAGCATGTAGGTCTTGCACATCTTTTTCTTTCCAAATTTATTGTGGAATATTTAATATTTTGGGTGCTTTTGTAAATGATATGTTTAAAATTCCAATTTCCAGTTATTCTTTTCCTATATGTAGAAATACAATTGATATTTGTGTATAGATGATTTATTTTGGAACCTGGCTGAACTCACTTGGCTTTCTTATAGATTCCTTAGGATTTTCTACATAGATGTTTATAGAGTCTGCCATAAAGATAGTTTTACTTCTTCCTTTCAATTTGTGTGTCTTTTATTTATTTTTCTTACCTTTTTGCACTGTGTTTTCCAATAGTAGTATTGCATAGAAGTGGTGAGAGTTGTGGTCTTTGCCATATTCTGGATCACAGAGACTCAGTCTTTCATTAATAAGTATGATGATAGCTGTAGGTTTTTTGTGTTTTTTTTAAGATTATTTACTTGAGAGAGAGAGAGAGTGAGAGTGTGAGCACGAGTGGGGGGAGAGGGAGAGGGAGAAGCAGACTCCCCGCTGAGCAGGGAGCCAGACAGGGGCTCAATCCCAGGACCCTGAGATTATGACCTGAGCAGAAGGCAGATGCTTAACCGACTGAGCCACCCAGGCGCCCTATAGCCATAGGTTTCTGTTGATGTCCTTTATCAGATTGAAGAAGTTCCTTTTTATTCCTAGTTTGATAAGCGTTTTTATGATGAATAGGTGTTAGATTTTGTCAAAGGCCTTTTCTGTATATCTATTGATATGATCATATGGTTATTTTTTTTAGACTGTTAATATGGATGAATTATGGATTGATTTTCAGATATGACCCTGATCTTCCATTTCTTGGATAAATTCCTTCCCTCCTATATTTTTTTATAAATAGTTGGTTATTGGTCTTGTCTTTTTTTTATAATGTGTTTGCCAAACAAAAAGGAGAAGTCAGCACAAAGCACTTCTTGCAGTATACCAAAATGCAGAGGTTGTCTTGAGGGAATGCACTTGTAGTTGTTTGAATTTGAGCCAAACTAGCCACTTTTTTTTTTTTTTTTTTTTGTGGAACATCATTTTTACTTGAAAGAATGACTAAATAACTGTAGTTATTTGGCCTTGAATATTGCAGACATTCTCTTGTAGTGCCTTCAAGAAAAAACAGCAGTGTTTATTGCTAATGTTACAATTTAAGCTTTCAAGTGAAAATTAGAATTTAACAAATGTAATTCTAAAAAATATTGCATAGTACAATATATTACATTTGGAAAGTCTACTACACAACTTATGAATCATTATTTTCCTTTTTTTTTTTAAGATTTTATTTATTATTTATTTGTCAGAGAGAGAGCGCACAAGCAGGGGGAGTGGCAAGCAGTGGGAGAAGCAGGCTCCCTGCTGAGAACTCTGTCCCTGCAGAACTCAGTCCCAGGACCTTGGAATCATGACCTGAGCCCAATGCAGACACTTAACTGACTGAGCCACCCAGGCATCCTGAATCATTATTTTCCAGCAGACTAATGCGTATTACAAAATTTTGCGTGGAAAAAAGATCCGTTGAAAGTGTAATATAGACCAATGGATTTTATTGTATAGGGTACAAAGTTCATCGATAGCGTTCACACTGCACTGTAACATTATAGTTTCAAGATAGAATATCCACAATTATGAACCTATTCCTGTTTATTTCTATCACAATAGATAGAAAGAATCCAGACTCTCATATGAGAACCCAGTTTTCTTCTATTAAGTCAGACGTTAATGAGATTTTCCAAAATATAAAACAGTGCTACTTTCCTTACTAAATTTTTTGTTTGGGGAAATATAGCTATTTTTATAAAAATTTTATTTAACATGTAATATGTGTATTATCTTTAAATGAATTTTGTTATACCTTGAAGTGTAACAAGGCAACTGATGATTAATGATTGTTTAGATATTACAGATAACATCTTGCCATTAGTGTGCAAATCAGTAATACAGTTTGAACATGTTGAATACCTTTATTTTAATGTATTTAGCGATAAATTGATCTTTTTGGTAGCCAAAAGAAATACACAAGAGTGGAAGATGTGTCTGTTTGTTGTCTAGCCATTTTTAGTTTCATAGGATAAAAATCAAGAAAAGGAAAATACTGAATGTTTGTTAGAATTGAATCTGCCTACTCGTAGATCATGTTTTTGAAAATAAATTAATTTCTCTCCGGTCTTTAGCATGACATTTCCAGTGAAAAAATGCAACCCAATAATTAGGATTCTAGCATACTGTTCTAATTTATCCTAAATAATCTACATATATTTATATAGCTAGTGTCTTCAATATTGAGAACATCCATGAAAACATTAAAGAATTTCTTAAAAAGAGGAATTCAGAAAGCCTTATAAAAGGGGCTCATAATTAACTGCACATGCCTGAACATATGTAAAGGCATTTTCTGAAACAGTTTTACAATCTCATAAAAACTTTAAAACAGAGAAACAATCCTGTAATACAACTAAAAATAGAAAAAAATAATAGACCCAAGCACTCTTAGAATAAGAGCATCTACTGAATTGTAATTAAGTTTGGCTTTCTAGCCTTGTTCAGTGACCTGGTTGGTATCTCATTACTGAAAGTGTTCATTCTATAGATTGTTGGAGCTCAACTAAGTGTTGAACATAGAGGGTTGAATAATATATGCCCCCAAGAGTAGACATGAAGGTGTGCTACCCTGATTGCACTTCAAAGAAGGGCCTACTGTCCAGCCGAGAGGAGTTGGATCACCAAGTAACCGCTTCTGGCCACACCTTAGGGTCTGCCTTAGTTGCAGAGCCACCTCCCCTGAGCTCATGACCTCCCTGGAGCAGCATGGATTTGTAGACTGAGCAAGATGAAGGTAAAAAGACCTAGCTGTTTCAACCCCTCACAGAGCACTCTGATGGACAGTACTTGCTACAGGGCTTCCTGCCTGATTGATTGAAATTTTACTGGGCCTGCATCACCGTTTCAGCTTTCCTTACCTTCCTTTCATAGGTGTTGATCCCCAGTGAACATTTTGATACAAGCACCACCTCATGTCTACTTTGGAGAGACCAACGTGCAGTAGCTCCTGATCTCATGAAACTGATTTACTGGGAGGAAATACCAATCAAACAGGAGATTTAAAATGTGATCAATGTTGTATAGAATTATAGGGTGCTGTGGTAGTGTGTTATAAAAAGAACCTAAGCCTTGTTGTTACATTGTTTAGGGAGGTAACCTGGGTTAGTGGTTAAGACCTGGGTACAATTGCCAAATTAATCACTTTGAGTAGCATGAACAATACCACTTACCAAGCCAGTTTTTTATCTGTAATGTGGAATGATGCATGGTCTTTCCTCCTTTAGGCAACTAACCTGGGATTGCTCACATGGCTAGGAGAAGATACCCAGCAGCAAGAGAGAGGGCCCAATGCACAAACATTTTTCAAGCCCTTGCTTGCATCAGCTTGCTAATATCCCATTGACTGAAGCAGTTCACATGGCCAAGCTTTAACCCAAAGATAGAGAAATAGACTCCACCTCTCCATGGGGAAATTTGTAAAATGAGTGTGTGTATTGAAAATGACTAATTTAATGCTTGATATAGTAGTTAATATTTTTTTGAGCACTTACTGTAAATTATACTGAGTAAGGGGCAACCAGACTATTATACTTAATATATTCTATCTCCGTATGATATGAAAAAGAAGGAACTTATTTGGAGAATTTGGTATATTCTGTTGATATCTTAAAATAAGTTTTATGATGGGAATAGTTTGCAAATAAAGCTCTCTTTTCTTTTCTCTACAGTAAGAAAAATGGAAAACCACCATTACAGAACAATGAGGTAAAATTTTAACTACTCGACTCTTTGGGATTTCATGTATTTATTTTATTTATTCTGTTATATAATTTTGAAGATTTATTTATTTGAGAGAGAGAGAAAGAGCCCATGCGCGAGCAAGGGGAGGGGCAGAGGGAGAGAATCTTCAAGCAGACTCCCCTACTGAATGTGGAGCCCCACTAGGGGCTCGATCCCGGACCCATGGAATCATGACCTGAGCTGAAACCAAGAGTCAGAGGCTCAATCGACTGAGCCACCCAGGCACCCCTTGTTACATAATTTTGAATTAGGATAAAATCATATAATTTTACAATTAGAAGGGAATTTAACTATTATCTTTACTCCACTGTGTATTATAGCAATTCTTTTTGAAATAGGATTCGTTGATAGGTGACTTCTAGTATTTACTTGAATCTGTTCATTTGATGAGAAGTACCACCTAGGAGGCAACCATTAGTGTATTAGTTCTAGCCCATGACGGGATTAATCTTTTCCTCTGCCCTCTTAGTGATTGATTCTATTTTGTCTTTTGTAGCCACACAGGACAGGCCTGCTTTATTTTCTCTAATTGACTCTCATATTGTTTGAAGATAGTTGTATCTTCTGAGTCTTTTTTTCCATGCTAAGCAACCCCTCATTCCTTCAAGTGTTTCTTAACCTGTCATGGTTTCCAATCCTTTTTCAATTCTGTATACATTCTTCTGGACCTATACTGGTTAGTTTCTCTAGATATTATTCTTAGACTAGAACATAGTTGTCCAGATATGCTCTGACTGGCATGGAATACAGCAGCACTATTACATAACTTGTTATGAAAACCATATTGCTGAAATTCAGCCTAAAATTGCTTTTATTTCTTTAGCCCTAACTGCTGTTTACATTGAGTTGAGTTATGGTAAATTATAACCTTCAGGTATCTTTCTGATGAACAACTCTGTTGACAGATTGCCTACATCTGTATTCATCAGTTGATTTCCTTCTTTCTTTTTTAGTAACTGCTTTATTGAGCTATAATTCAAAGACCATAAAATTTTTCCATTTAAAGATACAATTCAGTGGTTTTAGTATATTCACAGAGTTGTGTGGCTAACTAATTTGAGAAAATTTTCATCTCCCCAAAAAGAAATTCCATACCCATTAACAATCACTCCTCATTACCCTCTTTTCCTAGCCCCTAGTAACCAGTAATCTGCTTTCTGTTTCTATGATTTGCCTATTTCAGATATATTATATAAAAAGAGTCATGTAATATGTGGTCTTTTGTGACTGTCTTCTTTCACTTAGCATGACATTTTCAAGGTTCATTTGTGTTGTTGCATGTATCAGTACTTCATTCCTTTTTATTGCCAAATAATATTCCTTTGTGTAGATTTACCACATTTATCCATTTATCAGTTGAGGGAAATTTAGGTTGTTTTCACTTTTAGGCTATTATGAATAAGGCTGCTATGAACATTCATGTGCAAGTTTTTGTGTGAACCTGTGTTTTCATTTCTTTTGGGTATACCTAGGAATGGAATTGCTGGGTCATATGGTAACTCAATTGATTTCTTTTGAATAAACATTAATTTATTCCTATATGTGGCAGCTTATTGGATCTGTACTATTAGTCTATACTGTAGTATGTCTGTACTGTTAATGTAATTTTGAATGTAATTCTAACATCTAGTATGTTAGGTAGAAGGCATTATCCATAATTTAAATTGGCCTTCTCTTTTTTCCTCACAATTGCTGATAGTATTGACTGTGTAAAGGAGCAAGGAAATTACTCTGGCATCTCTTAATCTTTGTTTGCTTATTTTTGGTATGGTTTATTTGGCTATGATTATATCCAACTATAGCAAAATCTGGTTCATATTTCTTTATTAAGGGCCACAGTAATTTTATAAGAAACATCAAATTCCTTAATTTATTAATTCATTTATTAAGTCAGCCTCTCAACAAGTATTGATTGAGCCCTTCATATATGCCTAGTTATTGGTCTTGGCTCTGGGTGTATAGCAGATAATAAATATAAGTCCCTACCCCTGTGAAGCTTACAATATACATGTCAGTTAATATACTAGCATAATATCCCTAAAAAAGAAGAAAATGGGAAGAGTTAGACATAACTTATTACTAGGAAACTCCTGCCAGCTTCTAGTGATTAGTGTCTCTTAAATCTTTCCAAATCCTCCATATAATGTCTATTCTCTGAGTATCCTGGAGATTGTTACCAAAATTTCTGTTCTTTGGTTTCTGTGATCTTTCTCTCTGGCTTTAAAAAATGGGACAAGGTATGCTTTTCTTATTGTCTGTCATATCTCCATCTTCATAATCTCTCACTAAATTATATCTGAGTAATCAAGCCTTAATTATCTTAGTTATATCTACTATCTATATATTAGCAAATCTTCAAGTTCTAGGACATCATTAAAACTTGTTAGTATAGCTAAATTCATTCACTGATTTTTTTTATTTTGTGCAACTTTTTTTAGCATATACTTATTTGCTCATTGTATAGTGTGAGCAAGATAACTTTAGGTTAGATTAAATTTTGGACAAAAAAGGATATAATACCATATGCACACTTATACCACATTTGCAAAATTTATAGGAAGTGAACACACGTTCACATATACACATATATGCTAAAATGAAATCTGGTAGGATATGTGCCAGATATTAACAGTTGGTATCTCTAAATGGTAGGTATAGGCTCCTTATTTTTTGCTTATCAGAATTTTCTAATTTTTCTGTAGTGAATGTATTATTTATGAGGGGAGGCATTTAAAAAGGGTGTTTTTTTTTTTAAGATTTTATTTGACAGAGAGAGCATGCACAAGTGGGAGGGGGATGGGGCAGAGGGAGAGGGACAAGCAGACTCCCTGCTGAGCAAGGAGCCTGATGCGGGGCTCGATCCCAGGACCCTGAGATCATGACCTGAGCCGAAGGCAGACGGTTAACCAGCAGAGCCACCCAGCCGCCCCAAAAGGGATTTTTTTTCATTGAAATTTTTTATAATGTTTGGTGAGATGGTACACTTTCACAAGACATGAGATTGAGGAAGGAGAGGAAGATTTAATAGAGTTAGACAGCAGTATAAAGAAATAGTTGACTTGATTTAAAAAATACTTAATTTTGTAATGATGTAATGTATGGTGATTAACATAACATAATAAAATAAAATTAAAAACTTAATTTTGATGGCAGTATACATGATATAAATTTCAAAATATATAAAGTAAACACTGCTGGGTTTCTGGGGTACTATAAACTCAGATGGGGAATTTAGCATTCCCATGCATATTTTATACTGATGGGGTTATGTGTATGTATGTATATCTTCATAAACAATATAGGTAGAATTACTTTGCATATTAAATTTTAGAAGTGGAATCATGATAGGTATCATTCTACTTTTCTTTCAGCATATTTTTTAGATCCTATGTTAATGTCTATGTTGATAGCTGTAGATCTAGTTAATTTAACTGTTCTATAGGATTTTGTTGTATAAATAGGAGCTGTTTCCTTTTTTATAATTGTGTAGAATTTTCATTGCATAAATTTTATGTAGTTTATATAATCTCATTATTGATGCACAGTTACATTTTTTATTTTTATGGTAATATAAACTGTGTAAATGCATATGTGTTTAAGCATATGTGCAGGAATACCAGTAGGATAAGTTCCTAAAAGTAAATTTGCTGAGTTATTTTACAGTCTGTACGTTTTACATTTTGATAGGTGCTATTATAGATGCTACATAATAGTTGTGTTGATTTACACTTTCGCCAACAATATACAGGAATGCTTATCCTCTTGTCAGCGCCATATGGCCTTTTAGTTTTGTTGTTTCAAACATCTGTTTCAGTCCATTCTCGTTCATCTCAACCTTTCTTTCTTTTCTTTTCTTTTTTTTTTTTTTTAAAGATTTATTTATTCATTTGAGAGAGCGAGAATGAGAGAGAGTACATGAGAGGGGGGAGGGTCAGAGGGAGAAGCAGGCTCCTTGCCAAGCAGGGAGCCTGATGCGGGACTCGATCCCGGGACTCCAGGATCATGACCTGAGCCGAAGGCAGTTGCTTAACCAACTGAGCCACCCAGGCGCCCCGTTCATCTCAACCTTTCTAAGTTGATTGACACATCAATAGGAACTTCTCTTTGCCCTTTGACCTTGTTGCTTCCTCAATGTTAGGTACATTATTTTCTGGTTGCATTATTTCTTTAACTATTTAAATGGTCTTTATCTGATGGTTTGCTTTTTCTGTAGTTTACATTTTAAATTTATATCCTCAAAGTGCCTTTTGTATTTTTTTAAGAAATACTGGAAAGTTCACAGATGGGGGAAAGTCAGTAGTGAAATTAAATTAAATTAAATTAAAATGAATTCGTTGGAGAGACTAGTAGTGTTTATGAAATGTACTGTCTCTGTAGGTCCTCTCCTTTAGATTGGTTTCAGATATGAATTTTATTATGTGTCAAGAATGGTAGAGCATTGTGGTATTTCTTCAGCCTTTCTGAGCCAGCCCTCTAGTCCAGGTGTTTTCTTTCCAGAACATGCTTTAGGAAATATATATGCAATTCCTTCATGGCTTGCATATGGCTTATGATTTAGTAGTGATGACAATAGGAGCAGAAATAAAAGAGGAGGAAGAATTATATACCAGGTAGCAGTTAGTATTTTAAATTCCTTTGATGTGACTTTCTTATAACTTTTTTTTTAAACCTTCCTCATTGTTTTCCCTAGATCATTTCTTGAAAGCAGCTAGAAGGTAGAAATAGGTAATCCTCTGTTTAAGTCAGAAGATGGCCATTTTATTTATAATTTGTCTATTCAAGGGTGTTCATTACATGTGCAATGGGGTGAGGTAGGGAGGCAGTGATAGGAAAAACTTGAGAGTAGAAGTTTAACTTTCTTTTTTTTTTAAAGGTAGTTGGTATCTATTGCCTTGTCTTTATTTTCTTCCTGTATTTTCTCAGTTTGGGGAAGTAAAAGGGGAGATTTTGGTTGAAGTTATAGGGTTTGGCTTGAGACTAGGCTAGCTGAAGTAAATAGACTGTAACGCTATTGGTCTGTTTTAGTTTCTGGTGTGTTCCCATCATTCAGAACAGTGCCTGGGATTGAGTGAATATTTATTGAATGAATGAAGGAGCACATGCATGTGTGAATGAAGTAGACTGGGCCTCTAATTCAGTAGGATGAGGTTTGCAACCTTCATAAGGTTTCAAAGACCTGAACTCTGTTCCAAGAGTTACAGGGTAAGCTGAATCTTATCCATCTTAGTCTTCCTGATTCAACTCTACAAACCACAGTGCCTTCAGACTTCCTTTCTTGGTCTATAATTATGTAATGCACTCAGTGCCTATTAGGATTACATATATAAAAAGCACTTTGCACGGTGTCTAACGTATAGATGGTAGCTTATTATTATTCTATTATTCTAATTTAGTAGGGTGAGGTTTGCAACCTTCATAAGGTTTGAAAGACCTGAACTCTGTTCTAACAGTTACAGGATAGGCTGATTCTTATCTATGTTAGTCTTCCTGATCTAACTCTACAAACACAGTGCCTTCAGACTTCCTTTTCTTGATCTGTGATTCTGTAATGCACTCAGTGCCTGTTAGGATTATATAAATATAAAGCACTTAGCACAGTGTTTGACATATAGATGGTAGCTTATTATTAATTCTAATTCAGTAGACAAACTATTCATTTCAGGTTCCTCAACTTACATAAAACATATTTACACTAAAGTTTATCTAATTATAGAATTTATCATGGGTATTTATCAAGAGCATAGTAGTTAACAAAGAAGTGAATTGTGATTATGGGAGTTGGGGAAGGGTCTAGGTAGGGGGATCAGATCCTTCTCATGTGTGTTGCCTGTTGCAAGAAGTTTCTCCTGTATGTTCTTCTGAACAGTTCAGGTGTAATAAAGTAAATAGCCTCTACCACACCCAATTCATCTCACTTTTTCTTGTTCCTTCAAAATGAAGAAATGTCTGAGGGTGATAAGATCAATTACTGCTCTAAAGTTTCTTCAGTGGTTTCCCACTATGCTGACTAAATAAACTCTAAATCCTTACTGTGGTTTCAGGGGTCTGTCTTTTACAAGCCCTGTCAACCTCTTCAGCTTCTCTCATTTTTATTCTCTTTGTTTTAGCAATTCTGTCTTGCTCTTCAGTGTGTGCACCGGTTTTATTCTCAACACTTGGTTTTTGTGCTTGACGTTCCCTGTGTTTGACTACCCTCCTTCCCTGAGGTTATCACGTGGCTTCACTTTATTTATGTCTCAGCTTAAATATCACCTCCCCAAAGAACTCTTGCTTGTCATCCTATCTAAATCAGTCTTTTTCTCATGGCCCTGCCTAGTGTATCTGTAACAAGTTATTGGTTTATTTTTATCTGTATTTCTCCTGCTAGTATGTGAGCTGTAGAAGTAAAGACCTTGTCCGTCTTTGACTTTATGAGGAAGAGAGTGAATTGGTAGGTTGCATATTGGAAATGCTAAATGCTAAATCTAGGAATCTAAATGTTTCCAGTAATTAATATCAGGAAAATTCCTGTTCAGGATTTTAAAAACATTCTGCTGTTAATCAGGAAGTGGATAATAAACAGTAAGTACTTGCCCATTTCTTAGCTATCTCTCTGATCTCATCTTCTGCTACTATCCCTTGCTTATAGTTTATCCAGCCAGATTGGCCATTTCGTTGCTCCTCAGGCAACTAAATGAGCTTTCACCTTGGCATTTTGCACTTGCTGTTTCTTCTGCTTGCAGTAGTCTCCCAGATATTCACATGGCCCCAGAACTTCTCATTCCTTATTTAGTTTTTGATAACATCTTATTTTCTTGAAAGCATGTGCGAAGAGCAGTGCGAGTTTGCACTCTCTAAACACAGTATCCATTTTGATAGTTGTTATTATTGACTTAGATGAAATGTGATTTTTTAATATTACTTGTTATAAATATCTTAATTTTTTTTTGTTTTAATGTAGAAAGAGGGGAAAAAAGAGCGAGCTGTGGTGGACAAGGTGTTTTTTTTAAGACTCACACGGATTCTGAAAATCATGGTCCCTAGAACATTTTGTAAGGAGGTAAGTCTTAAGAAATTATAATGTTAAGTGTTTAACTTTTAAGGTTACATGAGATCAGAAAAATAAAATTATAAAGCTTTTGTTATACTACAGATCAAATGTTTTTTTGTGTAGGTAATGAAGACTAAATTTTTTTTTTTAATTATCTATTATCATTGCAAGTACCCTTGTTATTTGGTGCCAGATTTTAAATAGTTTCCTCTTGTTTATGAAATAGTATTTCATTATATTTTATGTGAAATACTAGAGTACTTCAGTGCAGCTACCCTAAATGGTGTTGTTTTATTATAGCTAAATTCTGTTAATAAAATCAAGATTAAATTTAGAAAGACAGACCTTTTTATTACATTGGGATGTTCATAAGTCACATTGATATGGAATACGTTTGAAGGTTGTTCTTTCATATGTGATTAAATATGTTTTGAGATACCCAAAATGATGTATGAATTCCTCCAGTATTTTCAGGAAGTGAACTGGTTTTAGGAATAAAGTTTTATTATCCTTTCCTTTGCCCTTTTATCAAGATTACCTTTATGATTATCTGAGGAGTATTTTTAATGATTAAAAAAATAAGATAATGCTGTGTTCTCCATCTTTAATCACCTTTTGTAGAACGAGAAATATCATCACCTTTGTCTCTTTCTCCCTATACTTCATCCTTTCAGCCACTGGTATTGGGTCATTTTTCATTCTAAACATTCTTAATGTGGATATTGTAGTGTTCATTAGTCTTAGTTCAAAGAAGCTCCCCTTTTTTATCTTCTCTGCGAAATTTATTTTCTTGAAATATAATGTTTTCCATTGTTCAAATTTTAAAGACCATTAGACTTATAATCTATTAATAGCCACAAAATGGTAAGATATTCCCAAAGCACTGTAATCCCCAAAGAGAACACACAGTTCCCCATCACACTGGATTTGCTCTCTTTCTCCCTCACTTCTGCATCGTGGCTTGTGGTTCCACCCTTATTGACTTCTAAAACATAATTTAATAACATTTTTTTCCCTAATAAGATAGAGATAAAATGTGTTCCTTGAAGAAAAATTAGAAAATGTGGATATATATTTTTTTCTTCTTGATACCTCTTAGCCTCTCACTCAGAACTTCTATCAGTATTTTGATGTCTGTCACATATTTTAATAAAAATGAAATCACACTAAGACTTTTTAAATCTTCTCCCTTCCTTATTTTTAAATGTTTTTTCCTTGAGTTTCTCTTAAATTAGTCTCCCTTTCCATTCCTACAGTCCTCGCTATATTTTTCTTACCTGGATTATCATAATCTCTTAACTGGTCCTTTTGCCTTTTATTGTTTTCTTAATAGTCTTTTTTCTAAAACCCTAATAAAAGCATTTGTCTTCTTTTTTCTTGTAGGGTAAATCACAACCTGACTTTGACCTTTCTTTCACTATCATCTTCTTAGAAGAGTCTTTGCTATTTTGTAGTCAGGCTCTGTGCTCTTATGATTTCATGACCTCATGTCTGTGACATCCTGCCCCCTTCCCCCAACAAAAACAGATACTTATAAAGAATAGCTTAATGCTTGTTATTTTCTTGGTGAAGTTTTCTCTTTCTACAGCCCTCCTGATTGAAGAATTATTTAAAATACAAGCTTCTCTGGAAAGATTTGTATATTCCCCTCTTAATCAGTTAACAGTTCAGTGCTCATTTGACTTTTTAGCAGGGGTTTGCTGAGTGTAAAACGAATGTGAGACATTGGATAGATCTCTGGGAGTTGGTAAGGGAGATACCAGGGCCTAACTTGGCCAACCTCCCAGCTTTCTCTAGGCCTAGCCATGCTGCAGAGTCATGTTACACATGATCTTTGAGAATTATAAAAATCCAAATTTAACCCCAGTTCACTGGGGGTTTCACTTAGAAATAAACTCTCATAGAAATCACAGAAGATTGGAAGTAGGGATAGAGAGACTAACTGATTTAGGAAATAGAGAAATGATAATACTGCATATGAATATATGGAGTTCATACATATCATGAGGTGAGGGACTGCCTAAATCAGTGCAAATCTTTGGTTTCTGACATATTCCACAAACCTACTAATCATGGAGATAGTCGTGATTCTAAGGACATCCTTTGTAGAAAAAGGCATTTCAGGATTGTCAGTAATCAAAGTTTGCCAGATTTTGCTAAAGTGAGACAAGTAAAGTTGGTACTTATTTCAAGGAAAAATTAAGCTGAGAACAGAAAATGAAGGAAAAAATAAATGATCTTTGTCTAGTGTTACCTTTGTATGTCAGATGATTAATTTAGGATTGAGACTGTATTTAAGGCCTGAATTAAAAGTTAGCATTATAGTTAAAGTGACATCTACATATAGTGTTTATTACAATTAAAAGATTCTTTTGTTGCCAGTTGCATACCTAACTTTCAGATGGTGGCTGGGGTAGGAAGATGGGATCTTTGCTTTCTGGCAGACTTTGGGGTAGCAGCTATCACTGCTCAGTTACAAAAGCTTTCTTTGATATTGTCTTTTCTTGTGTCTTCATTATTCTGTGTTTATGACTCCCTGCCTCGTCTACACCTAAAGTGCTGTATTTCCTAGTACCTTCACCTTTTTTTAAAACAGTATTTGTTTTGCAAAAATTACATAATACTTGCAGTTGCCACTCAGCACCATAACTTTGACTTTAAATATATTATCCAACAAATGTCCCTGCTGCCACATCCCTCTTCCCTGACTTTAGCTTCTACAGTACTGTCATTCTTCCAATTCAGAAGAGTAAGTAGGGTCAGCTTTGAATGTGTGTGTGTGATAGAGTTTGGAGAATAAGTTCTCATGTCATCGAGAGAGAATGGACTCCTGACTCAGCCTCTCATCTGTTTTCCTCGCTAATCCATCTTCCACAACAGCATTGCTTAAGTAAAATTCTCAAAATGACACTTTTTAACACTTTGTTTAATCCTGCTAAATTCTGCTGGATATGCAATACTGTTATTCATATGGTTTCAGTCTATTTCCTATTTCTCATTAAATCCTTTATCTTTTTTTTTTTTCTACTCATAATCTTCCTTCTCTCCTTTGTTTTCCTTGGTCTGTTTAATGTATTTCTAACATCATAACCGTCTTTTGTCACTGAGGCCTTCCTATCCTGCCACTTGTTACATGAAGTGATGCAAATATACTTATCTACTATGCTGTCTTCTTTTTTATGTGTAAATCTTGTCTTAATCACTAAATTGAGGGCAGGGCAGTATTAGAGATTTTTCCAACAAATTGAGCTAAATTTATTCCATTAGGCCAGTTTTAACCTTCGGTATTTGCTTAACTGTACATTAATAGTTACTGTCATTTTTCTTTATTAGACTTCTGTACTAAAAATATAAGACCATCACAGTACACTGTGACTCAGGGAATCTAAGTGATACTGCTAGCTTCTGTTAATTGTATGAAGGCAAGTCATTTGACCTGCCTGGGATTCACTTTTGAATTCTGGATGAGAAAGTTAAATTAAATGATGTATTAGGCTTTTTTCATTTATATTATATTTTTAAATTCTCTTAAAATTATATTTAAAAATTACCTATAGGTAAAATGTCAGCCACTGTATTGAAGCTAGAATAAAGATTTGAACTTAAAAAAATCTTTACCAAGGTAATGTTTCTTTTAACTTTTAAAAATGCATTTATTTAGTTGACTATACCTGGTTTATTTTAGACAGGTTACTTGGCACTTATTGCTGTTATGCTGGTGTCTCGAACATATTGTGATGTTTGGATGATTCAAAATGGGACACTCATTGAAAGGTACTTTTCTATTCACCTTCCTCCTATATGTACAAAATACTAATTTGTCTCATATTTAACATTATCTTAAGCAAGAAATAGATTTTCAATTAGGTGTAAGTACTTAAGTCAAATTATATATTTGTTCATTTACTTAACAGATGTTTATTGAGTATCTCCCATGTGCCAGGCACCATGCTACTCTGTGATAGGGATACACTGGTGAACAGGAGAGACTCTGTACCAAGCTCTGCAGAGCTGACAGTTTATAGAGAATTAGGGACAAGGAAACAAAATGCAGTATAATAAATGCTGTAGCGGGGGGTTAAAAAGTCACCAAATTGGATGCCTGAAATTAATGAGATAATTTGGAGGAAAATATCAAAGCATTTCAGAGAATCATATTGAGAATGTTTATTAGAAGTAAAAAAAGTTTGTAGACATTTCCTTCAGTTTCTGAAGTTACTGCTTTATGATTTTTTCATTATAGTCTTTGTACATATTATATTATCACTGTAACTGATAATTTTGAATTTAAAAACTTACAGTAACAGTTGGGATATTAACATTTATCTGTTAAAGATTTTATTCCTCATGATACCAATTTGAATGTCAGAGTAAAACATTTTTCTTGGAATTCTGTTTCCTGGTATGCAGTATTTTATCAGAAAATTTCTTAAAATACTTAATCTAATAACTTTTTGAATCTTGATTTGCTTCTCAGGATTTGTAGGATGAGGAAGAATGCTTTATGCACATGTTTTTGACTCTCTAGGAGAATAAAGAAAATTATTTGCATAGGATTAAAACCCTAACTACGTGCCTCACAACATGTATAATTGTGTAGGCTCTTGTATTCAACACAGGTCTCCCTGAAACCTGTGCTCAGTGCCCTGCCTTGTTCTTCTAATCAAAGTAATACATGAACACAGCTAAATGTCAAATAGTCCTACTGGACTTAATCACAAACACATCAGTTCTGTGCCCCATTCTTGCACTTGTAACTTCCATTCCCGGAGCCAGTTGTTTTCTTTTTACTGTTCATCTCTACCTCTGCATTTCAGTGTAACTTGTGTTACTGTCCTAGATTTTTCAGTTTTAGAGAGTATGCATTTATTTCCTACTTTGAAAGATGAGAATTAGCTCTTTTATACTCCTACCCATGCCCATCCTCTTGTGTTTTACTTTTTGTCACATTTTTTGTTAAGTCAGAATTTATTGTTTACATGATTTTGCCTGTTTACCACTGAGCCACATTCTGTACTTTGGTAGTTTCTTTGATATACAACTTTTTGTTTTTCCTGGCACTTAAAAATTACAAGTTTCTGTTTGTGCCTTAGTTCTTTGCCTACTTCTTACTAATTCAGCTCAAGCTTATTTACAACACTGTAAAATCTCAGTATTGTAATATGGTCATACACACCAGGTGAGCTTTTGATTTGTGTCTATTACCACGCCATCCTATACCTCTTGAGAGTTCTTGTCTTTCTGTCCTAATCTGTATTGATTGCACTTTAAGCCCATTAAAGAGCAATCCAGTTTGATTTTGCTTTAATTATGATCTTGGGAATTTCTTTTATCTTTCTCTTTTGCGTTAAATAACCTGTTTTCTAAATCCTTTGTCTTCCTTTTCCTTAGTTTACTTTCTCATTTTGGCACGTACAGTGTTTTTCTGAGAAAGGGCACAATGGAAGTAAATTTTTGAGACCTGAACTCTTATACTTGATTGATAGTTTAGCTATATTTATACATTCCAACTTGGAAATCATTTTTTGTTAGAATTTTGAAAGCATCACCCTGTTGTCTTCTGTAGAGCTCAGCAGTTCTCAGCCTTGGTTGCAGGATGATTAGAATCATCTGGGGAATTTTGAGAACGATTAATACCTGGGCCCACCCCTAGAGATTCTGATTCAATTAGTCATTAGTTTTTGAAACATCCCAGTGATTCTAATGTGCAGCCATGGTTAAACACTGCTAGTCTAGCTGCCGTATTGGGTGTGGAGGCCCATTCCTGTGCCGCTTGCCCTTCCTTCACAGTGGATCTGTTTTTAACCCCCGTGGAAGCTTTTATGATCATTTTTTTTTATTGTTGATGTATTGCTAGTGTTTAGGAATTTTACTGAATGTCGCTGTGAATTGTTTTTTTCCATTGCACTGGGCACTAGGTGGACTCTTTTCAATTGAGAAACTCATTCTGCATTCTGAGAAATTTTCTTGTGCTTTTAAAAAATTCTTCCTCTCCATTTTTTTCTGCATTTTTTCTGGAATTCTTCTTACTTGAGTGTTGGAACCCTAGGCTGATCACCTGATTATCTTATAATTTCTCTACTGTTTCATCTCTGACATTTTCTAGGAAATTTCTTTTTACTTTATTATCCAGTGATTTGTATGTGTCATCATTTTATTTCCAAGAGTTATCTGTTTGTATGGATGTCCAGTTTTAGAGCAATCATTCTTGCAAGTATGTGAACTTTTTTTTTTTGGTAGCTTCCTGCATTGTTTATTTTTTCTTGGGCCTTTGTTCTCATTTTTGTTGTTCATGTTAGAGGCTTTCCTCAAGTTTGTCACTCTTGCCTGTCTATTCATCTTTAAAAGTGAAGGGCTGAAAAACTTGCTAGAAGCCAAATGGAGGGCTTACAGATTGGCCTCCCTGAATGGTGTTCAAGAGAGTGTCTCGTCATTTTTGTGTGTGCCCTAGTGAGGCATCCTCTTACAAATTCTAAGAAGTTTGTCATAAACATAATTGAAGTGTTTATTCGTTGCTGCTAGCATATCAGCTTTGGAAGATCAACTTTATTGCTAAGTTTTGCTTATATGAGCTATGTGCATAAGTAATTTGAATCCTTTGTATAATGTAGAGAAGGCGTATATGCCCTTTTACATGATTATAAAATTTTATATTTTTTCCTTTGATGACTTTATTATCTAAGTACCATATCTGTTAATAAAAATACAGGCTCCCCAAATATAGCATTGTTAATAGCAAAAATACACAGGTTATATCCACTATAAGCATCATATTAGCTATCTGTGTAGAAAGTCGCATATTACATATAAAGAACCTTGCAAAGCCTTGGTATAGTATAGTAGAGTACTTTATTTTTTAAAGTTTTTTCCCTTTTATTCACATTTTGTGACTGTATGTTTTTGTAATCCAGAAGAATAATATTTGCTCTTCTAAACTAGGGATTTCCAACTTTAATTGAATAGATGCTCATTTTAATTTTCTCATACTCTTAATGTCCTGGAGAAAATGCATTGCCAAGAGTAGGTGGTACATTAACTGGTGATGATGGACAAGAGGAAGGTTATTAGCTAGCATAAGCCAGCTTGTAATTCTACTAGATAGAGTAATCAATTTGTTGGGTACTCAGTTTTAACATTTAGATACGAGATAAAGAAAAAAATGAAAAAACAAAGACTATTTAAGAGTTTCTAAAAAACATTATTTTGATACTATTTAAACTTACAGAAAAGTTGCAGAAACTGTACGAAGAACTTCCATATACTCTTAAAAAAATTTTTTTTTAAGATTTTATTTATTAGAGAGCAAAATCGGGGGAGTAGCAGAGGGAGAAGCAGGTTCCCCACTGAGCGGGGAGGCTGATGTGGGGCTCGATCCCAGGACCCTGGGACCATGACTTGAGCCGAATGCAGACACTTAACCGACTGAGCCATCCAGGTGCCCCACTTCCATATACTTTTAACCCATATTCATCAATTGTGAAACAGTCATTTTAAAGTAAATTGTTAACTTTCTCCTTGATAAATATTTTTGAGCTTCTTTGTATGAGATCTTTGATATTTGGTTAAATTTAACATTTTTAAACATATGAATTCACAATATGGAGCAGTTTTATTTGAAAAATAACACATAGCTCTAACGTGCTACTAAAGCTACATTATAAATTGATTTTTCTGTTTTTCCCTTGTTGCTTCTTCCAAAGAGGTTTAGATTCATCTGTTTCCGCTACAAAAAAGCCTGAAAGAAACTCATTCTGGTCCTTAATGTACATTTTAATATCCTTTACATCTTTTAGGCTTATTTGTTAGCAGTCGCTAAAGACTGTGGAGTATGGGCAAATTTTAATAGGACAGACTCCTTCTTTAAGGTAGAACCTGGAAATTCCATGATATGGAGGAGAATCCCTCCTACCTTGTTGCTGCTACAATGTAATTATAGAGATGTATTTTATTTTCACCCATTTGACTACAGGCATTTTAAAATCACCAAATTATCTTTTATAAAGATCCTTACGTGTTTTAGAAGTAATAGGATATAAACTGTAAAATTACTCTTTATTATTATTTTTCTTTTGCAGCGGAATAATAAGCAGAAATAAGGCTTTATTCAAGAAACCATTTTTTAAATTTATAGCTGCTGCCCCAGTGGTAAACCATTGCTGAGTGATAGCATGTGCTTTACCAAGTGTTCTAATCGTGTGTGTTTCACAGCGTGGGCAGCACTAAAGCACTTTGGTTTTATGTGAAGTTTGGTTCAAACAATTTTAGTCTAAACCTCTAAACTTTTTGCACTGTCTTAATTGCTCTTATTTTTTTAATATTCTTATTTCTCGAAACAACATTTTTATGTGGTTCTATCGTAGCTTTTTTCTAGTTCAACTTAAGTAAAAAAAAATTATTTAGCACTTCTATCAAACTTGGACTATCAATTTTCCTGTCAGTCTAAAGTAGCATTTCCCAAAGTATGTTCTATGGAATGCCAGCGATGGCAGAGGAAATGATCCATGCCACAGAGCCCTCTCAGAGAGTTTTAATGCACAAGGTTTATGTTACGTTAAGAGCTTTGAGAAGGTCTTGGATAAAGACATGTGTTAGCTTTGTTTAACCCAGGTTTTCTCAAATTTACTTGACCATGCATCTTCTTTGCTCTAAAAGACCAGTTAACGTTACTTGGCATTATTCACCTACTCCCTCATAAAAATCGGATTATTTCTATATCCGATACCGTATCATTTTTTTGGCATGTGGGGCCAGGTGTAAATCATTTAGTGCAGTGTTTTTCAAAATATATTTTACTTACATTTGTGAATGTTAATAAACATTCTTTGAAAAAAGATATGTGATCAGATAAGTTCTATGTTTCTCGTAGATCATAGATATATGGTACTCAGAGATCCTTTACTTAGATGATATAATGGTTTTCAAAAAGTAGTAGAATTCTTACTTAAATAAGTTCTTAATGGATATTTTTAGAACAGATAAATACGTAAAATAACATAAAAGAGGAGTTGGTGTAGTTGAAGTGTATTAACAGATCTGAAGCCTCTGGAGAACCATTCTGAGGCTCTAAGGAACCCCACTAGTCTACCAGAGAGGACTTAGAATTTAGTCCTCGCGTCAGCAGATAAGGCTCCACGGGCCAAATCCCACTGCCATCTGTTTGGGAAAATTTTATTAGGATGCAGCCAGTCTCATTCTTGGCTGTTTTTCCTCTGCAACAGCAGAACGGAATAATTGGAACACAGACCTTCTAGCCCACAAAAGCTTAAAATATTTACTCTTGACCTTTTACAGTGAGAGTTTGCTGATCTCTCAGGCTATCTCTGCCATTAGTTCATCCAAATGAGCATCAGGATATTAAAATATTTAAAAACAAACACTAGTTTATTTCATCCATTCTAACCCATTGCTGGCTCTCTAAAGCTGTTAAAACCCCTTTTGTGGCAGCAGCAGTTTTTTTAATTTACCATTTCTACGAAGGAAAGAACTAAGGAAATCATTGTTATTTAATTTTGCTATTTATAGAGTTGATTTTCAAGAAGCCTCTTTCAAGTGATCAAATTTCAAAAGTTGGAAACATGTTTCTGCAAGAAAATGTTTTTCAGCCTCTTTTTTCTTATTGATTCTTCTGAGTCAATAAAAACTTCCAAGAGTAATTGTAGAGCTTTACAGGTTTTCTTAGTGTTAAATATTGCTTCTTTTGCAACTAATGCATTGCATGTGGTGGTTTGCAGTGGTATCATTGGTCGTAGCAGGAAAGATTTCAGGAGATACTTATTCAACTTCATCGCTGCCATGCCTCTCGTAAGTGGAATTCTTTAAAAATCTTTACATAGGGAAAAATTTGGATCTTACTAAAAAAATCTTCAGAGATTCTTTACTTCTTAAGTTGACTTTAAAGATTTATGGTACTAAGTTCCTACTTCAAGTTTAGTTTTGTAACTTTTGGCGGAATTTTTCAATGTAAACCTTTATACTAGATAGTAAGAGACAGGAGTTATTAGGTTGGGTTCAGTTTCATTGTATACATATGTGGATGTGTCCCTATGTGTTGTTTTGTTCTAACCTTTAGGCCAGGGTTTCTCTGATGTTTAGTAGCATCCTACTTGATGGCAGTAGTGCCCCTCCCCCAGTTTTAACAACCCAAGATGTCTCCAGGACATTGCCAAATGTCGCGAGGAGGCTGAGGTGCGGCTAGGTGTGGTGGCAAAATCACCCTGATTGAGAACCATTGCTTTAGGCCACAAACTATTATAGTAACTTGAAGCACTTAATGTAGTTGAAGTGAAATTGGAATTTATTATCTGAATTTATTAAAAATAAAGGGCAGTGTTTGGTTAAATCATAAGTGATATTCTTAGCTTGGTTCTTTGTTTTATTGCCACTATAAGAATTTTAGTATTATAAATATGGAAGTAAAAAAAAAAGCTTGGTTATAAAATCCAGCTAATTAGAAAATATGTCCGAGATTTAATAAAGCTTGAGGATACATGCACATGGCTTTTAGACCTTTAGAAAAATTGAGATAAGTGTAGATGTCATTAAAAGATCGAGATTCAGTGGACAACCATTGTTTTCTTGAGAAAATGTTTATGTAAATGTGAGTTTGGAACTATGGAAGAATTAATTTCAATATAATGATGGAAAAGAGAAGTAAAGATGACTCTAGAAATAATCTGGAAATGGTATTAGTTGGTATGAAATTTATAATATTTTTTTAAACAAATGCACCTAGAATTTCATTGTCTAGGGTCATAGTGTTTGTAGTAGGAAACAGAAGATACAAACAAATGTCAGGACTCTTTTACATTGGATCCAAAGGGGACAGATTTGGCTTTTTGTTTGTTTACAAAAGAAGTATCAAGGTGCTTCTCCTAATTAATGATATGAACATATTGTAAAATTGAGTTTCAAGTAGAGTTTTAATATATCAGCATAATATAGCCAATTGCCTTTGGTTTAGCATGTTGTCTTTTATCTTTGTACACTGAGTAAAACAGAACTGAATTATATCAATTTGGACTATCAGTTATAAAAATCATAGGATTTGGGAACAGAGCCAATGCTAGAGAAATAAATTACAATTTTACAAGTAGAAATGTAGTAAAACCAGTAATATGTGTTTGTTTGTTTCAGATCTCTGTAATTAATAACTTCTTGAAGTTTGGGTTAAATGAGCTCAAACTGTGCTTCCGAGTAAGACTAACTAAATACCTCTATGAGGAGTATCTCCAGTAAGTGATAACCTATTTTTATATTAAAAATACTTAAATTGAATAGAAATGCTTATGATATCAGATAGAAGTTTTTCTTTTGTATTGGATATATTTTTCAAGGGAGTTCTCTTAGACCCAGAAGCACGTAGGCAAAGACCTCAGCAATTTAGACTCTAATCCTGGCTCTTCCATTAATTTGCAAGTCATCCTTCTCTGGACTTGCTTCCTTATCTCTAAAGTAAGGACAGTCTTTAAGGCCTCTCCCAGCTCCAAACTTTTCCGTTTCTATGAATTTGCACTATGTGCTAGAATGGGATTTTTTTTTGTTTTTAAAATCATTAGTTTTAATGTCACTTTCTTACACCTGTTTTAGAGCTTTCACATATTATAAAATGGGAAATCTGGACAACAGGATAGCCAATCCAGACCAGCTGCTTACACAGGATGTAGAAAAGTTTTGTAACAGTGTAGTTGATCTGTATTCAAATCTTAGTAAGGTAAGTTTCTTTATTTTCTTTTTAAAAATTATTTGTTACTTTGTTGAGTTTTGAATCTTAGCAAATTTATATAGAATTGATTTGATGGACATAACAGCATATAACTAAGTGCTTTCATAAGAAAATTAGAGTTATAATAGTTTTAACTACAGTTATTTAATTTTCTCTATTATTTTTGTGAGGTGTTTTGGCCAAGAATGAAGAATGTAGTGTCTTATAAAGATTTTGAGTGAATTTTGCAGGCTGATTTCAGTAAAAACAGAAATCTGAACTTTTGTCACTTGACATGTGGACTTGTGGCAATTGCTAGAAATTGACCGTCAGTTTATGTTCCCAGTTCCATATTCATAACACTAGGCTGGGACTTCTTCCTGTCCATTTCTGTGCCAATTCTAATAGATCATTTGAGTAATGGCCAAAAAATCTTCACAAGATGCTAGTTGATTTCAGTTTTCTAATTTCTATTTCCCCCCACCCCCACCCCAGAATATTGTCAGAGCTCTTGGGACTGAGGATAGGCCTTACCCAGGTTTCTTCCTGCCCATTTCCTCAGTTCTTCCTCATCTTGCTATCGTATATCTCACCACCCTTTACAGCTTTTGCTGTAGTCTTCTCATTAAGTCCTCTTCTTTGCCATTACCTAATCCTGCCTTGTCTGGGACATGTATGGGGCACCGGCAAGATCATCTACCCAGCATTTCCTCCCCTCTTCATCTTAGATGCCCTGTTTCTACTCTAATCCACATGGCTGCTCTTGGTCTGGGGTGGGAGCTTGTCTTAGGGTGGACCAATTATAGTATCTTTGTCCCTGGCCACAATTGATCCAGATGCCCAGTCTACCCAGTGCTAGACACAAGAACTCTCTACAAGGGGCTGGGTCACATTGTAAAGAATAGGAATGCTCCTGCTTTTACCATGTGGATGGAGGGAGGACAGGCAATTCTTAGAGAAGTGCCGTGTATCCATAAGAGTTTCCCCCTCATGACAGGCCCATTATTAGGATTCATTTTCACTTCATGGCAAACTTTTTATTCAGCTTTCCAGAAGCCTTTGCTAACTGATTCCATACTCTAGGAACTCTGACAACTCTAAATTATTGATTAATTCAGCCTTCTTTTCTGCTCCCATTGCCACATTTTGAAGTTTGTTTTCTGTGTGTGTAGGGGCGGGGGAGTGTATATACAAATTTTTGTGTAATTCTTTAGACGTTGTTATGTATTCTTTACATCTTGGCACTTGAGCAACTCTACAGCTCAGGTCTTGTCACATTGGCAATAGGGAAAATATAAAATAATTGCAATGGGCTTGTATATTTACTGTTTTTAACATATTGTTTGACCTGTGACTTAAATGATGAGTCATTTTTGTCAACTTTTAAATGTACTTACATTTTACAAGTATGTCTAGCTTCTTGATAATTTTGAAGGCGGAAAAGAACAGGTTAATCTTCATAGAAGCCAGCAGAAAGGGGTGGCTATAGACTTAAAGTGAATGAATGTAATGGGGGTTTTTTGAAAAACACTTCAAAATATGTACAAACTTTTGGTATGTCATTTGAGTTGTCTCTGTATGTAAGGAGCAGTATATTAATGTCTTGTTTTAGTTCTAGAAACTTGAGTTTTATATCAGAAAATTAGAGGCTCATTCGATTATTTTAACATATGGATATTGTGATAAAGTAATAGAATTAAACAATATTACGGGCAGGAAGAACCGTTCGTTTTATAGGTGTAGATATATAGAAACCAGAAAAGCTGGTACCAGGTTTGAGGTTACATCTCAGGTCCTTTTTATTCACTGTCTTTACACTGCATTGAGAAATTACTCTGTTACTAATGGTTAATTGTCATAGTAGAACTACCTGAGTTGTTGGAAAATGGTAAATGTTTTTCCCCTTGTTGGTCAGTAGACATTGGTCATGCTGTCTCTATTTTAAGTTTCTTGAGAATAAGAACTGTTTTCTTTATGTATTTGTTGATCTCTATACTGTTTATAGTATATTATATATGATGAGAACTCTCCATGTTGACAATTACATGTTAAATGTTGAGTAGCATTTTATATTTATTGTGTTTTATTAGTTATCAATCTACACAATCTACCTCTTTTTAATTCTTTATCTTCTAATATTTACAGCCATTTTTAGACATAGTTTTGTATATCTTCAAGTTAACAAGTGCAATAGGAGCGCAGGTGAGTTTAATCTATCTTTTAAATTGCTGTAGTACTGTGTTGTAAATAGCTGGATTGTTTGTAGGAATTTTTATGTATCTCAAAGAATGTGTTTTTACAACATGTACCTAATAAAGTCTAGTTATAAAATAATACTGTATTAGAGACTTTAAAAAGTATTCTAATTTGGTGTTTGAATTTTCCTTAAGTTGGATATTTGGAAAATTTTTGTGGCATTAATAACCAGAAGTGCTTAAACATTGACATCCAAGTACTTATTGTTGTAAAGTAATGTCTAAAAAGAGATTTGGATGCAGCCATTTTAATATGAAACTTGAATGTTAAAATATCAGAAATGCCTTTAGATATAATGGTTTTTTAATATAATATGTCATTTTATAATTATATAAGTGGTTGACTCTCTTATGAGCCTTATTACCCTGTCTCTCTATTATTTGTGTTGGTAAGAATGACCCTTAAATTTTGTCTCAGTATTCTCATTGAAATATAACTTTAGTCATGTAATATGTGATGTTACTCTTACATATTTATTACACAACCATGTAATAGTATGACTGTACTGTGTATATATGTACATGTGTATGCATACGCATCTTGTAGTTGATTAATATATAATTTATATAGTAGTTTTTGCTACTTTCCAGAACACTGGGGAAAGTAGGTTTTTATTTGAATTTTCTTATCTACCGTCCTAACCTTCTGCTACCCTTGTTTTTACTATAAGCAAGTGAATAGGCCTAATCCCTCTTATCTTTGTGCTGCAATATTTTTATGGTACTTGCTACATTTTTATAAAGCTAAATATCTCTCCATGTATTCCTGTTACCTGATTCTGCATTTCTCAAAGGTAGAAACTGTTTTAGTTCTCTCCTTTGCCCATTCTTGCATTGACTATTGAAATGATTGAATCAATCATATTTAATTAAAAAATATTGAATACAAATTATAGTCCACACATGTTGTGCTAGGTAGTGGGGATAAAAAGATGAGTAAGACACAGTTCCAGCTGAAGAAGGTTTATAATCTAGTGAAAGAATAGATATTCAGACAATTATAATGCAGAATGATAAGTCCAGTAACAGAAGTTTGAATAAAATATTTAGTGTCCGGAAGAATTAGAGGTGTTATTTGAGTTGCTCTGAGGAGGATAAGTAGGTGTCCGTTAGATATGTCAGGCTTGCCAGGCATAATACCAGCTTCATTGAATGGCATGTTCAGGAAATAGTTTTTTCAGTATGGCAGGACATAGGATATAGATGGGAGTGAGGGAAGTGCCTGTGATGAGCTTGGAGAGGTCAGCTTAAAGCTTCTCTCTTGGGTTGGTCAATGGGTGATGAGGTTACTCACCAAGTTAGAAGGTATGGCAGCTGCAAGGAAGATGTAGGAGAAGGGAAAGGCAGGTAGAGCTTGTTTGGGGGACTTTAGCTTGAAGCCCTATAGAGTAGTGAGGTAAGAGTATATGGTACTTACTTGGAAATACTGTCTTGGATTCTTAAGAGTGATGGGAGTAGAGATAAAAATTTGGGAGGAAAGATCTAAGGAAGAAACCTCAGGGAATATTTTATTTTATTTTATTTTATTTTATTTTATTTATTTGAGACAGAGAGAATGAGAGAGAGAGAGCACATGAGAG